TCTTTCACTTTCTTTTTAGGGAAGATTAGGGTTATAGAAACTGAATAACTATGTATTCTGTGGAGTCAATTACTTTGAGCATGTCTTTTGACCTCCTAAATATAAACCTTATGTTGAGTGTAACATCACCTGAAGCAATCGTTTTTGGTAGAGTGTGTTAAATGTTGGTTCATGTAAATAGGTTCTGCTGGCATTGTATTTGTAGTAGGACAGTTGTTTACTCATTACTTTAATTGTTACTATACAACATCCATTGAAACCAGTGTTCAATTAACAATGCTTTTAACCTTGTCAGCAAAGGGTAAATAACATCACACTAATAACAGTTTTAAAAGCAATTACAGAATGGAAAGTGGGATAGAAGCTAGAAAAGCCATAATAATATACTAAGAAGTTTCACAAAGGGGAATATTTATTTGAAAATTTAATCAAATACAGACTATCTACCCCAAAGTAGGCTCTAATAAATTATTATGTTAAAGGTTATTCCTCTAAATTTACCTCATATTCTTTTTTATAAAGGATACTTAATTAAAAGTTTCACATAGCTAAAGAAATTTATTTTAATGATTATCATAAATTCTAACAACCGATGTAGGAATACTTTCATGCTCATGTCTTTACCCACATTTACTCCTTCAACTTTCCTTCTTGGACATAACTTTGTTTAATCAAGCTGGGTTTTATTTTTATATTTTCTTGCTCAAATCTGTATATTTCTGTCTCTTTTTAAAAATCATCTGACATCAAAGCATTTTATTCATATTGAACACCCTCATCAACAGCTGTGTGTTTCTCTTCAGAAACATCACCAATCCCCTGCTCCTTAGACAACCTTAGCAGGATATGTTTCTTTCCCATGTTCTCCTATTCTAGTTCCTGCAGCGTCTAATGTAAAACAGATTTTTAAAGTTTATCATAGAACAGAGGTCAACATGAAAGACTCCAGGATCCTGGCCTTTGGTTTTACTTCTGGTCTTTATTATTACAACAAATAGTTGAACTATTATTTTCCACATCATATAAAGACATTGTCATGACAGCTCTTTCTTTTAAATCACAGATCAAGATTTTCAAATATTTAAGAACATGGGTGAAATATAACAATAACACAAAATAATCAAAATGAACTCTAGCATTCTTAATGTTTCTAAAATCAGGGAAACCACAACTATATCATCTAGGTCCATGCTCTTCTTCTCTCCTGTTTTGATCCAGAATGTGTCTTCAAACTGTCTAAGGTTAATTCCATAATCCATGTTATGGATTCTATTCCCTGCTGCTTTATTTGGGAACGTACACTATTTTCTCCTTTTCTCTTCTATATAGTCAAGTTAGATCCTTTCCAGCTTTTGAACGCACACCACCCTCATCCATTTCAAAAATCACCAGCCTTGTCCCATATCCACGGCACCTGCAGCTTCTGCCTAACTCTCCTTTCTCTTACATAGCCAAACTTCTCCATTTCCTCCCCTTCCCCTCCCTCCTAATCCACTCCAGTCTGCTGATATGGGTATTATACTAAAATAGCATTACTAAAGACACCACATCTAAAGTCCATTTTTAACTCTCCTCTTAGGAAACTGCCTTCTTAAAATACTCTCATGCTGGGCATCAAAATCCTACATGAGAGGATAAAAATATTAATTACATATTCTTCCTAAAGATCCTTCCTACAGATCTCTTCCTCTTACCCTCTCCCAAGTCCTTCCTCTCCTCTCCCAGTTTCTCCTCCCCAATCTGAGAAATCCATATTGTCCATTGGAATTTTGAGATGCAAAATTGGTAAAAAGAGAAGAAAAACTGAAAAAAAATAGAGAGTATATTACAGAGGAGAGGAGAGGTGTTTATATAATAAAGTATTGGGTGGGCAGATAGGAATGAGAAGAAAAAGTCGCATACATTCTTTGTGAACAAAATTGTTTTATTTTTTATTTTAAGCTTTTGACTATTTGGATATCTTCAATGCTGCAAGCAAGGAATACAGATATTTTGAAAATATTTTTGGAAAAATCTTTTTTCACCTCTTCTATTCACTGAGTGTTGCATTATTTTGTTTTTCCATGTGGAACTTTTCCCTTTATTTGGAAGTAATAGTAAAAAACAGGTTTGCAGTTGTCACCTTTCCAAAGAATTTTTTTTTTCATTTTTATAGATCTGTCTTGCCATCATTAAAAGGAATTTATATCTAACTATTGGACTTGGGGCCCTACCAAAAGGAGACTGGAGTTAGTTGAGGAATATTTGGAGAACATGAAAAAAAAAAAGAATAATTTAAGTTTTCCTATACAATTGTAATTAAACCTGAATTTTTAGTCAATGATAAATCATTATGTAACTTAAAATCTTGATTAAACTTTTCATTAATATCTCCATCCTATTAACTTTACCATCAATTTGTCATGTTATAAGCTGGGATTTGGACTTGTTTTGGACTTGTGCCCCCCTCTCTTGATGAAAGAAAAGAGTGTCTAAGTGAGTGGAGGCAAAGTTACGGTTTCAGCAGGCATAACTGGATTTCAGAATTGTTTCTGTAACTGGAGGGAAAATATGCTTGCAGGTATTCCAGGCCATAACTCTCTGAAAGATTCTCCCATATGGCTTGCTTAGTTTTTACTTTCATTTTGTATTAAACAAAAGTCATTTGAGGGCTATTTAATGCTCTGGTTTGTGTTTTCCAATACCAGATAAAAGTTAAACAGATGAACCATTTGGGGGGTAAGGATTGGGAAATCCACGGCTGCTAAAATGCTTTAAAGTTTCAAAATGGTTTTGTTTTTTTAAACCCATTTTCCATGTTCTAGCAGCTGTGGGTTTTCCCAGGGCTCCCCCTGTGGCTCAAAAGGGAGCTGCTTAATGCCTAACAGATGAGCCAATTGAGTTTTTAAATGCAAAATTAAACTTAAAGTGCACAAAGAGCACAGGGGAATCCACAGCCAAGAATATACTAAAGTAGGAGAGTGAGCAGGAGCACTGGGCTGTGGGGAGACACCGCCTCTTCTACTGCAATCAGAAGCAACTTGGAAGAGGCACATTCTTTTTTTCACCAACCATGAAACAGGCTGTAATCAAAATCCATGTTGCCGAACGTTTTTCATAACTATTTTCTTTAGATTTATTTATACATGTCTATTTTTCTTTAAGAACAGAAAACAGAGAAGAAATAGGTGGCTAGGTTCTATGGAATGCAAGAACAACTATATTTTATTCCCTCACTGATGGTAAGAGAATCTGGTCCCTCAGCATTGCTTTACCCTCAGATCCCTGGGCACTTTACCTCTTGTGCCCTAGATACAGCAGATCACCCAGATTATCAGAATACTCTGCTTTGAATGTGAGGAGCTGGGACCAATATTAACTTTGCTTGGGACACAATTTGCCAAGTCACCAGGTAAACTGTTCTATCATTCATCAAAGTATTTGAGTATAAGAAAGACTGGATTTTGGTGCTTAAAAGTGAAATTCAAAAATAGGTTTTTACCAACTTTGATAGTCTTCTCTGGTTCAAGAAAAATCATTCTAACACCTTTTTAAAAAAGATCTCCATTTAAATTGTCTAAAAGCTTTTACTTAAGAGATTTCCACCACAAACAAGACTAAAATTCCATCAGTGTAATTTCTGTTAGTGAAGGTGATAAAATTAACGATTGGATTCCAAATTATGGGAATCTTTTACTGAGTCAACCTCATGATTTTGACAGGTTTTTCATGACAATAATTGCATCAGCCTTCCAAAATGAGATACAGCTCCAGTGAGGCTTACCAGACAACAGAACCTTCTTGATTTCTAGCTAATGAATACTGGAAGCATGATTTTTTAGTATTTAGGGAAGCTTTGTCCCTTGTTGTCCTGAGCACTTCAATTGCATCTAGGAATAATTAGGATAATCTACAAAAGTGCTTCTGAGACATGACGACACCCATTGGAAAACTTCTGTTGTTCTGATCTTGCATTCATACTCAACTTTTAAGCTAGGAAAACATTAAAAATTCTTTAATATGTCACTTTTGAAGAAATAATTTTAATAAATAGTGACCCAAATCTTATTATCATACCAGCAGAAACTTCCCATTAGGTCACAAAGAAGAGGATGCTAGAAAGCTTCACATTTACATTTGACATATCACAAAGTCTAGCATTGACTAGTGAAGTCACAGAGTCAAATACTGTCAGCCTTAAAAAGTGCGCATATAAGTATCTGTATGTATACACACACACACACACACACACACACAACTCCTATCTTTCTAACCTTATTTAAATTTGCCTATTGAACTACAAATTACATTCCTCAAGCATTTTTATCTCTTTCAAACTTTAAAGTAAAGTAGGCAAGCCCACCCCCTACCCCCTGCCAAAAAGAACAAAACAAACACACAAATCCTAACCCCCCTCTAAAAAATCCCAACAAACTATAAAACATATCGTTATCATTTGGTCTCTTTCTGATGATACTTAACTGTTTAATGGGATAACTATTTTACCTTAATCATTTAAATTTAAAGTGTTGCTTGTGATGTGGCAACTTCTGAAAAGCAGATTGAGGATGAATGTTCTTACTCTGCATTGGGAGTTGTGCCACTTAGGCAATCAAATCCACTTAAATCTTTGACTCTATCCAGCCTTGTCAGTTGGCCTGAAGGAAAGATACTGATGAGGTTGGACTCCTATGCAAGCAATCATATGATTAATTGCCTTAGAGTGAACCTAGCCATTGTGATTAAAACCTAGGGCTTGTGTTTAGAGTAGAGTTTCCATGCTTCAAGGCACTCCTTGACAGATCTAGTACTCCCAAGGCCTTGAGAAAATGTGCTGAGGAATCAGCATATTCCCCTGAGGAGTTGCAGTGTTCGGGGGATCATTCAATCATTAGACCATATTCAAAGAAATGGGGTTAATCTAAATAGGTAATCATTGGATCACAGACTTATATTGGCAACCTCTTTGAAAGTGTGATCATCAGGATGCAGATTTAAATAAACAAGAACATATTCAAAACTTGTTGCATTCTGTGCTTTAATTTAATGGGAATCCATACTCACCCTTAAAGCACCTTATACTTCTCACCTAATGATTACACATGCCTGCGTACTGCTACTGGTGCACTTGGCGTGGATGTAAATTAAAAAGACAATCTGCTCTACCCTAATAAAATGCTATGGCTTTATCTTTTCAGAATTCCAAGTTTAGTTATTTCTCATAGAAATTGATTAGCAACAGTTAGCCACATTTCATACATAGATACACATTCACACATACACATATGAATATGTGAATTTATACATAAATGTTAATACACATAACATTTCAAAACTTTTGTTTAATATATTTTCTCTTTTTGTAAAATTATATAGAATCAAAAATAATTCATTTTTCCTTGTCCAATAAAATGTTGGCTTCAGAGTTCCCTTTTTATAAAAAAATTCTATATCATCAAAGAAGTAGAATATTATCCTTTTTTTCCCTTAAATTACACAACATTTTAGTGGCTTTCACAAATAGAGGCTAACATGCATTGATGCATTAAAAAAATAGTTACCCATTTTCCAGTAATTCAAACCCAACACCATTTTGAATAGATTTTTTAAATATTCATGAGAGTCACACAAAGGTAATTGATGATAACTACAAATTATTTGTATCTTATTTATCTTAGACTATATCCCATAATTTGTTACTACATTATGGGCAATAATATCATTCTCTCAATTGTAAAATGAATGGAATTTTATTAACTTACTGCTCTTTTATAACCTCATAAAAACTGACCCCTGTGAATATAAGGCATTTTAGAAACCCTACTTGCTTAGAAATAGATGCAGTTATTAAAATTTTCCTTTTAAAAATATTAACAAAATCAAGGGGCATGTTATGTATAATCCTCATTATTTTGCATTGTTCTCCAAACAGTTGCCTTCATTTTCAGGATGGATCTGTGAATGCTCATAGCAGATGCATCGCATGCAGAAGCTGGGAGCAGGCAAGTCATGGTTGGCATATAGAGTCTGTGCAGGAAAAAAATATTTCACAAAGCATGTTGCATTGAGTGCTTACTTTAGATCCAAAATGCAATCATTCTCTTACACCAGTTTGATTGAATATTTCCTACCAATGTAAAAATTTGCTCTTAAAATTGAATGAGAATAGAAAAACATAACCTCTATTCCCCAATGCAAAAATCAAATATGCAAATATGAAAATGAGGAGACTGTTTCTTCCTTTTATACAACTGATTAAATTGTCACCGCTGGAGATTACATGGGGTTTTTATTCCCTTTACAGCCATAAAAATATATTGTCACAGACGAGACCACCACCTGGGTACACTATGCTTCCAGTTGCCTGTAGAGGTCTTGTCCAAAACTTTGCAGCTACCCCTTTAAAAAAAAGAAAAGTTTAAATGTAATCATTCATGACAGACTATGTGATCTCTAAAGTCCTTTCTAACTTGGACATTCCAGTAAGACAAAAACTCTTCTCTCATTACCAGATATCAACCTGCACTTTACTTTCTCCATAACAAAACCTTCACTAGCACACCCCCTAGTTATACTGATCCCAAAACATTATTCATTTTGCATGAGAATTTCATATTTAAAAAATATCAGAGGTTCCTCTCTTTCTGGTTTGGGTTTGATATTCTTACAGATTGATCGATTTATTTACTGGTTTATCAGTTTAGCACTGAATCTACCCCTCCCCCACTTTTGCCCAATTGTCCCTCCCAGATGGAAATATTTGATTCCTGCAAAAATTAGATATAGAAACAGAAGGATTACCTTTGCTTCTTTCACGTCTTGCCCCGATTTCGAAATGGGTATCACAGTCTGCCTGGATGTGATAGAAGTTACTGCTCAGTGATAATGTCGCCTGCCTGTGTCATTCTCCACGGTGGCCTGAGCAGAGAGCTGCCTCCAGCTGCAAGCCAGGAGCCTCAGTGTTAAGGACACACACATCCACTTTGTTAAAGAGATCTTTTCTTTGGTGCACAGAGATGTAACCACAAGGATAGGGAAATTTAACTACTAAAAAGGTGGCAGGATGATGTTTTTTAATTGAAGCATTCAGAAAAGAAATAACAGCAGCAAGAAATAGTGAGCAGATGCTTCATTGCAAGGACAAGTGAACAGGAACAACTCTATTTGTCTTTAGATTTGTAGTAGATATACACATTACTTTTCTTTAGGAGGGAAGGAATTGATTCACAAAGAATTTTTAGGTAGCTTGAAGTATGACTTAAAATATTTCCATTGTTATTGTTTTATCCACTCAGCAAAATGAAACTTTATGGGTATTTTTAACTAGATAAGATCTTTACTCTTATCTATTATCATAACTGTAATTTAAAACAATATCTTCTCAATTGCATGAATGAGTAAATAATCAAGTTTTTCATTTCTAGCACGTAGGTGGGTAATCTTACAATGAAATAAAGTGATTTCATGTAAAAACCCCGAAAGTCCCTATGCATTTAAAACAGACACATATATCATGCGTAAATATAATATTCTATTTTAAGTTGAGAATTTTAGAAAACATTGATTTTTAACTTCATGCATACCCTTTTTCTATAGTAAATCTGCTCAATTCAGGTGTATTTTTACTGTCAAAATTAAAAGCAGAGTTGTGCTTGTTCTGTGTATTAAACCTGTGTATGCTTGAACCCTTTATTTTCTGTTTTGTCTTTTTTTCTGTCTTTCTCATGTTTCTTTGTTTTTCTTTTGTTGTTGTTTTTTTTCAAGACTTCTGAGGGCTTTTTGTTTTATCATATTCTCTTCTTTCTATTTTAAACTGCTTTTAACAAAAATTTCATATTTAATCTAATTTTCATGTTTTTTTAAATTTTCCCATAGTTTAATATTGTTTCTCTCTCTCTCTCTCTCTCTCTCTCTCTCTCTCTCTCTCTCTCTTCTGGGGCACTGTGTTTATTTGTGAAACACAATTCCAAAAGACAGAATAGTACTATATGGACAAACTTTTCTATTGAGTGTTCTTATCTTTTAATGTTTTGGCTTCTGACATGTTTATTCCCTCTCCTAGTACTCACCATTTAAAATCATCTTTTCATCAATTGCATTGTCTTTTCTATTATTAATATCTCTTTTTCATTCTTCTCTTGATATCCTGGTTTCCAAGGCATCCATTTATTCAACACTTAGTATAAATACGGTGTTTACTGCTTCATACATATTCCCTGGACTTTTACTACAACCCTGAAAAGTTGGCATTCTCATCTAGAATACAAAGGAAGACAGGACCAATGACTAAGGTACTGCCTTCAAGTCATGCAATTACTACCGTGATAACAGATACTTGTTACCAGAACTATCATGCACCAAATTACCTTCTCTCTTAACTAAATCACATTTTAAAATTGTTATGTATATGGAAAGATGTGCTCACTTGTTCAGATTCACCGATATATATGCTCACCTTATTCATTATTTATGCTCTTGTAACTGAAGCAATGAATAGAAATTACTCCCATGTCTTCCTTTTGATAACATTTACCAACTTTAGTTTTATTTGTGATTCAAAGAAAAGAATCTCTAAACTCAAATTATGATCTTCGACAAAAATTTAAAAAAAAACTATGTCCAAGTTTTCTTTGTATATATAACAATTTTCTAATATATGGCTGTAAATGTAAAGAAACTGTGGCAGCAAGTTTGTGTAAAATAATTAGAAATGGCAACTCTAGAAGCATGGAGAAATTGTGTTATCTGCAAACCCAGAGCCTTATATCAGCCTTTCCAGTAATGACATCAGTAATCAAATATGTTTTTACAGTTGTCAAAGCTGAGGATCAGACATTCTATCCCAGCCTCTTTGCAGCTGCTTTTCTCCATCCTTCCCTCCTGTATTATATTTGCCTTTGGGAGAATGAAAAAATTATGGGTTCCTTTATGTTCCTCATTCAGATTTAGAAACTTTTATACTTCTTGCTATAAAGATAACATGATACAGGTGTTATTCTCTAAACATGTCAATTTGCAAGTTCCATAAAACCACCAATTAATCTTTGCCACATCCTTCATGTTATTCTTGCAATGATATATATATATGCATATGTATATATACACTTTACAGAATAGACACATATTTGGCATTCCATTAGAAGTCTCTAAAATTGCTGTCATTATTGCCATGAAAAGTTGTATTTCTGAATTTTGGAAAGAGGTTAAAAATATTTTATTTTATGGCTTGCAGTCTTGAAAGCTGTTCTTATATTAAGCTATGATTAGTGTTTATACCCAGCAGTTTCTTAAGAAGTTGCAGAAAGAACAAAGTTAGCAACTAGCATACCAAAATAGCTAGAGATCATAAGGCTTAGGCAGTTTATCTCATTCTCTAAACCTCAGTTTCTTTATCTGTAAAGTGGGGATAGTAATGTTCACCTCCAAGGACTATGGGAAAATTTAATCAAGTGATGTATATGGGGCACTCAGGACAACATTTGGTATATAGCAAGTTCAGTGTGAGAGATGGCTGTTATAGTAATCATCATTATTATTTTTATTACTACTATGCAATAACAAAATATTGATGTTCTTTCCTCATTTTAGCACTATGTTCCAGAATCCAGCTTTATCTAGCTTCTGAATAGCATTTGATGTCCTGGTATTTTCTTTTTGCTGTCCCCACACTGCACTAACTTTATATATATCTCCTGTAATAGTTTTAGGATCAAGATTAAATTTGTGTTAAATAGAGCACACTGAGCCAGCTCTTCAGCACACATTATAGCACTTTGGATTTATGTCTCTTGGCAAGTACTTAAGAGTATAATCCATATAGTTGTACTTGCCTTGCTATATCAACTTTCATTGGTATTTTATTTCCCTAATAAATATTTCCAAAGCTAGGCCATAGAAAATCTCAATAAATTACTATGAAAAAGAGCTAAACTAAACTTATGTATCTTATCTGCCTAACATAAATCGTAAGTGTATTAAGGGTATGTTTCATTCATTCATTCATTCATTCATTCATGTGTGTATTCATTTATTCAGTTAGCACTGGTTATGTGTCTGCATAATAGGCACTGTCCCCCAAATAATCTACTCAAGGCCAGGGACCCTTGTATATAATTGCATCCTCAACATTTAGCACAACGACTGGCATATAATAGGTGCTCAAAAATATTTGCTAAATCAAACAATTAAGTTCTATTTTTGGACTGATTGCTTTTCAGAATACATAGGAACAGCCTGGAGAACTGAGTGGTAAAAACAAAAACAACAAACAATCTGATGGTAATAAGACCCATCTCTCATGATTACTTGCCAACCTAAGTGTAATCAGATCTCAAAAGCTTGCTTCAAGATTTCACAACTATAAGCCAGTATATTTTTAAATTGAGTCTGTCAGAATTTTCCTGAGAACAGCTTTCCCTTGAAATTAAAAGAAAGAATGAATAGAAGGTAAATTAGTGATAGTTATAAACAACGGTATTAAATATACAACCCTGGGAATTATATGAAGATCTAGAGACCTAATTATTGAGAGTTGGGGAGGTTCACATGCATCAGTTTATTGACAGTTGCTTCTACAAGAAAGAAGTAGTATATTTTGGTAAGGATCATAGAATTTCTTTTGTTGAGATACCTTAGAAATCAGACCATCACTCTAATATTTACTGATTAAAAACAAGAAGACCAAAAAGAGTTTCAGAGACCAACACAAGGTCAGTTGGAGCAAGAACTAAGACTCTGGTCTCTGATGTTTAAGAAAATAAATGATCTCACTACTGTATCACAAGACCTGCTATATATAAATGCTACCATAATTATAATTCCATGAATAGTGACAATGACCTGTAAAATATCAAAAAATACTAAGTAAAAAATGTACAAGAAAATATTCAGCGTACATTAGTATTGTTTTCTATTCAAAAGGTTTTAAAATAATAGAAACTTCAGTTGTTCAAGCATAATGAAGTTCTATTCAATTGAGTCCCTAAATCCAGATTAAGACCAGATAAATTCCAATGGGTATGCTTCCCCCCACACCCCAGATATCCATGCTGAATTTTAAATTCATGTTAGTAACTGTCTACACAATTAAGGAAGGGGGAAAAATAGGTGTAGGTTTAGAATTGGTGCTGAGCAAATTTCTGAGTGTAAATTTGCAACTTAATCTTGGAAGATGAAACTTTTGGAGGGTTCCTGTATCTAAAACCAACACACAGAATTGTTTGAAAATAGCAAGTTGGAAATATTTCTTAAAAATTCAAAATTACAATCTTACAACCAAACCTTTACAAATAATTATTCATACAGTAACAGAAAAAAATGATGATCAATTCTATAGTAGATTTGTTCATCTGAAAGTAAAAGGCACAGATTGGTGAGAACATGTATTTATAATTTTGCTACATGAAAGAAACAAGGGGCAATTGTGTTAATTTCACAGAAAGTTATCACTTTGGAGCAGGCTATAACTAAGCATTCATTCTAAACTATATTGTCTTCTCACTGCTATTTAACTGGGTGGCATAAATGTTCTTGATAAATGAATTTATGTATATAATCTTCTATAGATATAACAGTGAAGTATCAAAGCTTTAAAATAAATGAATGTAATTATTTTTCTTCAGATTTATAACATCATTGCTGTTAACAAATATAAATGTAACATTTATCAGAAAATAAGAGACTGCAGACGGAAATAAACAAACCTAGGATATAGCTCATCTAAGTAAATACTGAGGTTATAAACCTTCAAACTCAAATATCAAGAGCCCGGAAAATTAATACTACACATAATAGACTCTTTGGAAGGAACTTAATCCACCCCCTTGAATCTACATGAGGGCCATGCATAACAATGCAGGAGCTGGGTTTTCATTAAGAGTTTCCTCTGCAGGCTGTCAGCTGTTTGAAGAAATAACAATTTCCTAGTCATGAAAGCTTTTTCAGAAGGTTCC